GTTTGAGTTTTTTTCAAACCAGTTAAAACGGTTTGGTTTAGGTTTGAACTTTTCTCAAATCGGTCAAAACGGTTTAATTTGAAAATTTGTCAAAAATCGCAAAAATCGGACTGCTTACACCCCTATGTGGCATAGCGTAGTATTTTGAGATGCTAATATTGTTGTGAGTTATTATTTACTTTTTCTTTTTATCAATTGTTCTAGGTTTTTATGTTTGAAGGGACGTTCTTTGTGTATGCCTATAATGTAGTTTGAAATGACATGGAATACGAGCCTATACTTACAATTCTGTGAAAAATTCAAATCAAAATCAACAATTATAATAAAAAATTTGTTGGAGTCATAATTTTTTAATTACATATTTTATTAAATTTTATCAAAATTTACTAAAATTTAATTTTTAACTTCAACAGGTATATAAATAAATTGAAATTGCCAAGTATTTTATTTGTTACAGTTTGCATTTATATGTAATAAAATTAATATAAATATTTAGCCCATGTTTTACCTTCATTTTTTTTAAAAAAATTATTTTTTATAAAACTCATTTTTAATCATAAATTTCAATAAATTCACGATTATCACCAACTTTTTAATCACGCATCTCACCAACTTTTTTTAAATTCATTAAAAATTTGATTTTTTTTAACATCAAAACATGGGCTTATTTAGACAAATTATTTTTAGCTTTCACCACTATAAAGAACTACATATCTTAAAAATTACTTTTTTTTTTTAAACTTAACTTAGGCAAACATGTCCTGTAAACAGTAATGAACGGCGTGTGGGTCCGACATAGGTGATGAGGTGACAAGTTCTTCCGTTACGTTTGACATAATCAAATCTGACGTGGCAGATTTTAATTGCAAAATGCAATGAAAAGCTTTGAACGCCGAAGTGCCCGTTTTGACTTCTTTGACCGCGCCTTTAATTAGAAAATGAAGGGCGTTATAAAATCTTGGCCATTTTGGCGTGACTTTTTAAAAAGTGAAAAGAAACTATTAAGATTCAAAAGTTACTTTTGGATCAGTTTGATTAATTTTATAAAAGTTTTTTCGATAATTAGAAGAGATTTTAGAAGAAGATTGTCAATTGTGTCGTCCTCTAAAGTATTGTCTTCCTCTAAAAGTACTTTTCAAATAAGAAGTGCATTTAAAAATTAATTTTTAAACAAAAATTAAGGTAAATTCTTTCAAAAGGTCATACAGTAAGCAAAAGCAAAAGTCATATCAAACAAACTATTCTTCTTCTTCTTTTCACTTTTTTTTTTTTTTGGTGAAATAGTCCTTAGAATTTCAATGAACCTCAATTTTTATATGATCAACAGATCTCGACTTCAATCATGTTCACATAACTTAATTTCCGTACACTTGAACAAAACGTTAGGAACAAGTGGCCCCATCCTAATAGCTGATGTGTCTCCTCTTAGGTATTACTACACAAATCATATACTAACTGACATTTAGCGACTGCCTCGAAGCAATTTTGTGTAGATTTTAATCCCTTTTTTGAACGTTGGACACAAATGTATGTCCCATTTGTGCAGTCATTATTGACTCAACAATTAACCAAATATAGAATACCCCTATCTGTAGAATAAGGAATTAAATGTTAAAGGGTACACTGATCATTTTACAGAATTTAGTCTATAATTGTTGCTCCATCAACGACACAACACTACGTAACGGCAACAAATCTGATTAAAATCTAGCCCAGACACGAGCTTAATATGTGTGAAAAGTAGTCACCTTTTACATTTTAGCCATCTACAAAGATGTCACATCAATCAATCGTAAAAGTATCTTATACAACGGACTCTCGGAAGAGATGAAGTGGGGATTGCTTCCAATCAACAAAGAGGCTAATTGCTTCAGTTTCCCTTCTACAGCAGGCTATAAAACCTCGCCTACCTCATGGAGGATCAGATATGGCACCTTGATGGAAGTTTTGTATCACCTCGGTTGGCTACCTTATATATAACTTTACTATCTCAGCCTGATAGGATGGTGGTGTGGAGTGTGGGCATTATTAGACTTGCTAGCTAGCACCAAGTGGTCATGACCAGTAGCCTCATTAGAAGATGCGTAACAATTTCATTAAATAAAAAATATAAATTTCCAGGATTATGTAATCCATTTCGAGATTAAATTATTCAGAATATAGCCTCCATCAGTTTCAGGGTTTGAAATCAAGTATCATTTGTCCTTTAAGTACTTAGATTTAAACTAAATTAGCCCCTATTTGTTTCCAATTGTTTCCCTCATTTTAATGAAATTTCTGACCGTTACAGACTTTTTGGCTGCAACTTTTGATCTTCTTGTTTTACAAGGGGGTCCACCGTTTGAAAATAAACGGTCAAAAAATTAATTCTTAGGCTCGAATAATGAAAAACAAATAGGGCTTTAATTATACTGCGGGATGATTTCGAAGGTCTAGATAAATCGGCTTTTAAAATATTAGAGAAGCAAAGCATAAATGTGAAATTCCTTATTGTACAAGCATCTACATGCACGAATAGTGTAATAACTATTTGTCTTTGACACAAACTTCGTGAAATCGACGCTATGAAGATTTGGAGTACCATCGGCTAGTAGGTAAAATTCCGTGCAACTTATGAGTCTCAAAAAGAGCTATCAAATGGTCACTCGATCTCAAACTCATTAGGGTTCATAAAGTATCACGCAACAAAAATGGATGCTTGGGGGCATGTAAATATCTTTCTCAAGGATAGACACTTTATGCCGACCTAAAGTTCTCGAAATATTTTTTGAGTAACGAAGGAACTATTAATTATATTATAAATAAATACGAAATGAAATGGTAGTTAGAATCCTACGTCAAGATCAATTACTAGATAAGCTACAAAAAAATTCACCGAGACGTTAGATCATTCGGTATTCATAATTTATACTTGTATATACTCCATTATATACATCTATAAATGATCTCAGAAAAGTGTAGATCATAAGTGAAAAACAAGACTTCCTCTTTCCCATTAATGAATAAAACTCAACCTGAAAATGTTTGAACTGAATTACTATGTTATCTTATCTATCTACCTCTAAAAATAGTTTGCATCAAGTGTAATGATG